TTCTCCTAAAGAAAATCGAATATTCCATATTGACGGTTTAGTGCACACATGTGTTAAATAACATTTTGCTAATATTTAATAATTTAAGTTTAAAGCTATACCTCTCTCTCTGTTATTTCACATGAAATGTATCTAGCAAACATTTTCAACAATTTTTCGTTTTTTCTGATTACATAATAAAGCAAAATGAAGATAAATTATTTGTACACATATAAGTATAGGTACGTGCTTTTAACACAATTTGTGCCAAGAATGCACTTAACACCTCTGTGCGCTAAGCCTTCGATATGCCACTCGTAAATTTCTTTTCATTCTACTCAAAATCGATGTACTTTTCAACCCTCTTCGAGGCTTGTATGCTAAAATGGGGCAATTAAATGTGTCGCTATCTGAGGGTCCTGTGAAAAATGTTGTGTGGCACGTACGTCACTGTAAGTGAATAAGGGACACGTTTTGCTAAACGGTTCCAACAAAAATTTGAAGTACATACACAATATTACACATTTTGTTTGGTGACACTTTTTATAGTTACGTTTTCAATTATTTAGATTGTTAATTGGGAAAACACTGTTGGTCGAGTGTATTTTTTCATTAAATACTTACCTTTTTAATTTATTTAGAATAATAGAGAGATATTGCAAATTTCTATAACGTCAGCCACTAATAGTGAAAATGAAATTAGAGGCAAATAAACTCAATGCTAAAATAAGACTTATTGCAAACCTGAAATTTTGACATTAGTCTTTGTCCTTGTACATATTTCTAACCTCATTTTAAAATTTTTAAATTACAGTTCATATTTTTTGTTGTTTATAATAGTACATAATATGGAAGAGGCATTAGAAATTACCATTTTAGAAGGTTTATATGACGATGATATTAAATATTTATTATTAAAAAATACGAATGTTGGCGAGGGCACCCAAAAACTATAAAGTCGCCACAATTAGGAACAGGCACAATCTTTATTAAAGTCAGTTCTAGAATGTAAGTGATCTGCGTATGCTCAGATGTCCAAATAAGAGCTACATTAATAGCGACTGGCCTTAAATGAACTTGCAATAACTCTCTAATTTGTGACACTGTTTGTTTTATATCGTTATTTAATTTGGATATTCCAAACAAAATAATTGCACGTAGGTAATGACAAGTTATGATATGGCAACCCAGTAGGCCTGGTGATTTGACAGGGTCAATAATATAGATAGTTATATAGATTGATTATCCATGTTTTTGACAAAAACTAGATGAAATCGAGGTAAAGAAGCACCTGTAGAAGTTCGTGATATCTGGTTAAGAGTTCTATTACTGAAGCTTCAAATGAAAATAATAGTGAATTTAATGAAGGACACTTCCTCCTACCTTCTGACGTAGAACCTACCAAACCACCAAGATATAAAATCAAATAAATAAAACGTAAAGCCATGTGTTACAAAATAGGAAAACAACTACTCCTTTGGATAATACCTCAACAAGTATTCCAAAGAAAATTTTCAGCCTGCCTTCTTGGTTCCATATAGTTTTTTAACTTTCTACTATAAGCGACCTTTGATTTTGCTTACTAGGAACAGATGGCGACACCATTTTCACTATTTCATTACTTTTCTTTTCGTAACCAACATTAATGTATACTAGTGAATGTGTTGCCTTCGTTAATTTTATTGGAGACTGGAATTGAAAATTATCTATTTCTTTGACAAGGGGGGTAGCCATGTGTCAGTTGAGGTAATTTTAAGGTGAAGGGGGTGAAAAAGTCCTTTATATCTCACAAGGAGATATAAAGGACTTTTTCTCCCCCTTCACCTTAAAATATCTATTTCTTGCTGAAGAGTCCTAATAAGAACGAAACCGATCCAAGAATGATGTTCTCCTTAGTGAGCTAAATCAAAGAGAGTGAAATTTAATTTATTTTTCTGCTGTATTTACGTTGGATATAATTTAATACCTGTTAAGGTATTAGCCAAAGGAGTAGTTATTTGCCGAAAGAGAATGGTCGCTTCTATTTTGTGACATAGGGTTTTGTGTTTTATTTAATCTATTTTAAGACACTAAGAAATAAGTAAAACACAGATTAGAATTATTTATAAAGTTTTTTTTTAATGTTATACCCCAATTCTCTTAATATTATTTTCGATTAAATGACCTTACAGTAAAAAACAATAGATACAAACAAAAAGAATAGAGAGATATTACAAATGTCTATAACGTCAGCCATTTATAGTGCCAATGTAATTAGAGGCAAATAAATTCCATGCAAAAATCTAATCTAAGATTTTGACATTAGAGTCACATATTCCTAATTTCATTTTATAAACCCTGAATTCTAGTTCACCTTTGTTGTTGTCTATAATAGTATATACTATGGAAGAAGCATTAGAAATGGCAATTTAGATGACAATGATATTAAATATTTAATATTATAAACTCACTTGGGTCCCGGGACATAACGGGGTACAGGGTAACGAGATTGCTGATAGTCTTGCAAGGAAAGGGGCTCAAACACCCTTTGTAGGACCTGAGCCGTTCTGCGGTATCAGCAGTAATATAATATTAGGAGAGATTAAAAAAGAATTGGGCAGTAGAAGAACCGATAATTGGAACAATCTCTTGGGGTTGAGACAGGCCAAGATACTTCTGAGTGAATATAACCAGAAAAGATCGGAAGCCTGCATCTGCCTGAGCAAGAACAGGCTACGTATTGTAATAGGGATCTTTACCGGGCATTGCCGACTAAAAGGACACCTAAGTAAACTGAGAGTAGTAGAGGATAGTGAGTGCAGATTCCGTGAGGAGGAGGACGAAACCTCCATTCACATCCTAATTGAATGTGTAGCACTCCAGAATCCAAGGGTACTATATCTAGGAGGATATCAAAGAGAAGAGGGAGATTTACCTAACTTGAAGCCACTTCAAATCCTACACTTCCTTGAGAAAATAGGATTGGAAGGGTCGCTATAGGCATAGAGGCATTTCCTTAGTGCATTGGCGATAGAAGGGAGCACAATAGATCTTTTAGGTCGCAGTGTATTAACACCCCATTTTCAACATAAGATAACATAATATTAGAAAACTTCAAACTCATACGAAAGCTAATAAAGTCGCCACTATTTTCTGCCGTTAAATATCCACAATTAAGACCAGCCACTATCTTTAAGTCCTAGAACTTAGACAATCTGCGCATGTGCAGATGTCAAAATAAGAGCGGTGCTAATCAGGGCCGACAAGAAGGGGGGGGTTGCCGGGACTAATTCCCAGGGAACGGGCTCAAGTGGGGGCCCGGCAGCAGCATAAAGGAGGCTCACCAACTTTGACGAGGACGTTTTATACTTTTTCAGAAGTTCGGCACAAGAGGAAGTTTTTTTTTAGAGATTTAGTAAAAAGAAGGAGAAGGAGAAGGTTTTGTTTTTAGAGAAATTCAAGAAAAGAGAAGAAGTTTTTGCTTGAAGACTTTTTTTTAGAGAAATTCAAATAAAGAGGAGGGGAAGTTTTTGCTTGAAGAGCTTTTTTTTAGAAATGTGATATTAAAAAAAAGCCTAATTTTTTATAAAATTGTCGCGAAGCCCGACCTGGAGAATTGTCCCGGGGCCCGACCTGGCTCTCGGCGGCCCTGGTGCTAATAGTGCCTGTTCTTAGTGAACTTGAATTATCTCTACTAATATCGTAAATGAGAGTAAACAAAAAAATATTTCAGAGAGGCGCTTTTCTAAATTAACATTTTGATTTTTTACCTTTGTGGCCAACAAATAAATTAAAATAATAGTAAATGGTTCCATTAATAACAAAAGAATAATTGCTATAAGTTGTATTTTAATAGCAACCTTTGTAGGATAAAATACCATTAAAATTTAAAATTGCTCTCCTGTAAATTGTATTGCAATTTTCGGTAGTTATTATAGTGCCTCAGTTACACTACATACCTTCCTACCTTAGAACGTCACATACTTGTCACCTTTCAGACAACTTTCATTATGTGGCACCCCTCGTAATGAAAAATGTTAAATTCACTTTCTTGGCAACATCCATTACCATTACATAATAATGATTATTTATTTATAATCATTATGTCTTTTTATATTTTATTTTATACATACTTCTGTTAAAAATATACTTCAAAATTTTCCAACTATATAATTTATTTATCATGGGATAAACCAACAAATTGGAAGATCCCACAGTTATCTCCTTCTGGCTGTGGATCATTGTAATGAACTAAAACCTTTTAAATGTTATATCTTGTGTTCAGCAGAATTCAAAACGCCAAAAGTATAAACCGATTTTCTTCAAGAACGAAACCAAACGACGCTCTCGCACTCATACCACGATGTCGGTGTATAATTTTTTTGTTGTATCGTTATATCGGCCTTCGAACCTTATAAGTTTACCTCGGTATATCAGATACAACCCTAAGGCTAAAATTAGCCCACATACCATATACTACCTACCTAATATTATTGTTTCTAAAGTTATTATTTGCTAAATATAACCGAACAGTCGAAACTGTTCTTAATGGGTAGACAAGGCAAATATCTTGTAATCTGCGGGGATCAATCCGGGAAACTTGGAACCCCGGAGGGCGTCAAAGACTTCCACGGCCCTTCTGAGAGTTTTGTGATTGACAGGGCCCCCTCCTTGCTACCTTAGAGCGCGACTTTAACCATCTAATGCAGGCCCTCAGGTTTTCGGGATCGTTTACTTATACCGTTATTATTATTCGGGGCCCTTGGCTCTTGCTTGACACCGTGCCTGCGTTTGATTACCTTAAAGCTCGATCTGCAGTTCCATTAGTTTCTTTTTATTAACGCCGAATGTCAAATTAATTCAGCGGTTTATAGTAAACATGGCTTTCTGAATTGTATCTGTATTATTTAAATTTTTAATGTTCTCTAGCCTAAAGTAACTTACGCAAAAGTTGATATTTAAGAAATCCAAAAAAATCCTACGAATCCCAGAAATCCATATTGACCGTATCATGTTTTTTTTAATTAACATTAGTTACTCACCATTTATAATGTTGATTTGATCGGCTGCTCCTGCTGACCGTAATGCTTCCTCCAATTGTGCTCTCCTTTTGCTTTCCAAGTCCATACGTTCCTGCAACTGTCTTCGCGTCCGTTTTTCTCTGCGCAACCTTTTTTGTACTAGTGCTGGAACAAATAAAACAACATTGAAGAAATGTTTACTAATGTGACTACATACTTATATTATGGTTGGTATGGTGATACAGGTATGATTTTCCCCCTGAATTTTTGTTTGGTCAAAACACAATAACAAATCTGTTTAAAAATTTAAAATTTGGCATTAGATATTCCTCGATATAGCAAACCTAATGATATAAACCATAATTAAAATTCAGTTCGGGCTTGATAAAACTTTGGCGATTTCTTTCAGTCCTTTTTAAAGAATGCGATTGTGTTAAGGGTTGTCATTTTTGTGAATGGTGATTGTTTTCTGTTTTGATTTTGAATTGATAAAATATAATTATATTGTTTAAACAAATTAATTAATTCGTTTGAACCGAAAATTATACGGAACTGTAATAAGATTGTAACTGATAATATAGAGACGTTTTTCATTCGCACATTCGCAGTAAACCGGGAACAAGCAAACGTAAGTTGTGATTCTCTCTTGTTTTTGGAATTCTCTATATTAATGTCCGTTTTCATTTTGTAGGTACCAGTGATGATGAAACTGATGCAAGGTCTATTGATAATCCTAGTAAGGATGATAAAAATGGTGATGAAAGCTTAGAATCTAATAAAAGGAAAAGACCAAAGCTTTCCAAAGTTTGGAACATTTTCAAAAAGTCCACTGATAAACAATTTGCAGCAATTGCGGCAAAGAATATAAAACGAGTGGGAACAAAAGCAATTTGAATGTTTATCTTAAACGACACCTCCCACATTTTATAGCAGAACCTAGGAATATCCAAAGTACTAATGAAAGTGACAGTGCTTCAGGATTCAGATTATTTATTAGTCTTTTAAATCCGATGTATATTATACCCAGCAAGTATACTATTCGATAGACAATTTAAAAAATGTATATTGACACACGTGAAAACCTGAAGAAAATTTTACAGGGGGTTCAATTTGTTGCAATTACTTCATGGACTTCAGTCGCAAGCGAATAGTTTTTGACTGTAACTTGTCATTTCATCACTAATGATTTTGAATTCAATCGCTGTGTTCTGTAAACAAAACCGATAGACAATGGAATTCACCATACATCGGAAAATGTTGCTGCAGTGTTAAGTGAATGGAATATTGAAATGAAAACCACATGTACAGTAACAGATAATGCCTCAAGTATGGTAAAATCTTAAAATTTTAAAGAAAAGACACCTTCCCTGCTATGCACCACCACTAATTTGGTTGTCAACGACTGGATCCAGTGAAAACCATTTTAAAAAAGTGTAAGCAAATTGTCCGCTTTGTTAAGGCCAGTAATGTAGCCACCGATATTTTCAAAAGGGGACAGAACCCTGATACTCCATTGAAACTGATTCAAGAAGTGGCAACAAGATGGAATTGTGCTTATGGAACGATAAAAAAAATTTTAAAGACTAGTGAAGCTTTTAATAGATCACTATTAAAAATAATAAAAGTATAGAATAAATAACTGTTTTAACAGATATGGAAAAATTATTCACCTTATTTGATGAAGCAACTGTAAAGATATCAGGCTCAAGTTGTGTCATCATATCATTAATTATTCCCTTAACCTTTGGCATATTTGGCACTTTAAAAAACTCAAGTGAAGATATTCTAACAGAAGAAGAAAAGCAGATGTGTCAAAAATTATTAATTGCAGTAAAAGTTAGATTCTTCCTATATGAAAAGAGGACTGTGGCTCAAATGGGTACTCTAATCGATTCAAGATTAAAAACAGAAGGGTTTTCGAAGTATAGATAATGAAAAATTAGCTGGACAATTTTTGGAGCAAGAAATGGTAAGCATTTTAAATAAAGCAGAAAATGAAGAAAAAAACGAAGATCATGATAGAAAAAACAGTTCGATTAGCAGTTTTAATAAAGGTAGTAATGGTGGTGATAGTAACAAGTCATCATTATCATCATCATCATCACCATCATCATTATTTTCTTTTATGAATGAAAGAGCAAGTCATAAACAAAGGTCAAAAAGAAAGTAGATGCCATAATAATAAAGAGGCAATACCTAGAGATTCAAATGAAGGAAGTGACCCTCTACTCTTTTGGAAGGTGAGTTAAGCTAAAAGTATTATCATGTTCATAATCTGTATAGTTTTGTATTGTTTCAAGTAAATGGAACTGAATTTCATCCCTTACAAAATTGCAGGAAAAAATATTTATGTGTGCCCGTTACTTCAGTAGAATCTGAGCGTGTCTTCAGTGGTACAGGGCAGATAGCTACTGAGAGATGGTCAATGCTTAAGCCAAAAAATATTGATATTTTAACGTTTTTAAATAAAAATTATTGGTTAGTTAATAAAGAGATATGAACAGAGATTTTTTTTTCAAACTATCGACCTTTTAGCAGGTTTTTGCCACAATTCGAAAGAGGTCTTGCGCTGTTTCATAATCGTCGATGAAACTTTAGTCCACTATTATGCTACGAAACCAGAAAACACTCCAAACAATGGATATACAAAGATTCTCCACCACCAAAGAAAGCAAAAACGGTTTTGTCAGTAGGAAAGGTAATGACAACTGTTTTTTGGAATTCTCATGGGGAAAAACAATAAATGGCGAGTCTAACGCCAATTTGTTAAAACAAGTTAGCGATAAAATCATAGAGCAGTTTGTGGCAAAGATTCGCGCGACGATTTTATCCGGGCATCATTTAATTCAGAATATTATACTAATTTTTTTTTTATTAATGGTTTTTTATTTTTATATATTTTTTTTATATTACACACTAAATAAAATATGACAAAGTAAAACAATGTGTTCTATTTTGAATAGCCTGTCAGAGAAAAATAATCAATTATATTTACATTATGATCACGATACAGTTAAAACCTTAGATATGCTGTAAGCTTAAAACGGTATGTTCTTGCGCATGTTAGCTCTATCCTTGATACATTATATGACGTCATGCGAATTACAACTCCACCACATCTGCATAGATAAATACAAGTAAAGAGAGGTTTTCAACAACAAAAAACTTGTATCACTACTTTATTGTTAAAGTTAGTGAAGTGAAAATAGAAAACTTCTTTCCTGAGTATATATAAATATTGCACAAACTTTATAATCATTTAGTTAATGTAATGCAACTAAAATTAGAATGAGCAAAGGCACTTTATTTTAAAGAAATCTATTCTTACTTAAATGTTGACAAATAACGTCAAATAAGAATTCATATTTTGACGTATCAAAGATACTATACTCTGTTTTTAAACTAAGAGGAGCGAATTGAAAAGACCTATTTACGCAGGGAAATATAACTAAAAAAGTAACTAGATATCATTTTAGCGGTAAATTTGAATTTGTCATGTATCATTTCAAGAAAAACATTTCAAAACTTTGTTATGAATGCATTGAAGTCAAAGTTTTAGATAACCAACGAATAAAGATGACACTAAATTGTGCTCATTCCGTTTTTGATTTATAATTATTGTATTTGAGTTGTACTTTTATTTTTTCATTACTTCGTCTAATATCGCAGCTCGCACCCAGTATGATGATAAGAGAATCGCCCAAGCAGCGACTAAATGTCAGTAAATTAAAGTAAAATGTCGCCCAACAAAATACAAAATATTTTTTTACATTTTGAGTTTAACATAGAGTTTTAATTCTATATTTTATTCATTGTTTTATAAGTAACTGTGATTAGTAAATTATATATCTATTATAATAACAGAAAAGAAAGTAAATAGTAGGTATTTCAATTTGATGAAAAAAGTAAATAAATAGGTATGCCAGTTCTATGTGTTGAAATGAAATTAAGAACCTATTATTACCTACCTAGTTAAAGAAGAACTTATTTAAAACGCAGAATTTTGGCAAGTACAAAAAAATAATGTTTATTTTTATATTTCTTTATAGGTAGTTTTATTATTTTATTTGTAAAATTTTTTCTTAAAATTAAACTACAGGATTACCATTAGTTGTATGGATTTCCTAATTAAATAAAGGTTCTTTCTTCAGGTAAAATGTAGTATATTATACGATATGTTTGAAGACAAGTGTTTTGAAATCAAGTAAATTAAATGGATAAGGATCATAACTGTATGAATTTTGTCTTCACTAACAAGATGTTATATTCAACAGTTTAAACTTGTTGGTAACAGCTTATTAAATATACGAAATAAATACCACAAATTATGGACATATTCAGATGGGAATAGCATTTTTAAATATATCCAAAATATTTTGTAGTTTTAAATGTTAATTAACAATTTTGTAAATGGTTTATTTTCAAATAAATAAAATTTACTTGAATATTTAGTTACATTTTAATAATTTTGATTAGAAATTCAATTTTTTTTTTAATCAGTAATACTGCTGTAATTTTTTTTAAGTAGAACACCAAAAAACCAATGTTGACCAATTTATAATATTGCAGAAAAAATGCTACCACATATTCCTGAGGCATAAATATAACGATTTAACCCAACTTACATCAGTTTAAAAGTGGAGGATTTCGGGAAGACAGTGTTAAAAGTTCAATTCAAGAATAATTTTTTTAATAATTGGTATATTTTTAAAATATTTGGCTAGGAGAGGTTTGTGGGGTGAATAATTTAAAGCTGCTCTCATTTTTATTGTAAAATTTAAAGGACGCCTTTTTATAAATCCAGATATCTCAAAAACGGCTGCTCAAATCTACTCTTACCACTAATACCTTGCAGAACAAGAATTTTTATTTAAAAGTTAAGAAAGTTATCGTTTTAAATGTATGTAAGGTACCGCAGGTAGCGCCCTTTAAATTTTACAATAAAAATGAGAGCAGTTGTAATTTTTGTATACTACACTGTACAGTTTTGTAGTTTTTTTTTTAAATATGGGTTAGAAAAACAACATATGAATAGTAGTATCTTTATTTTGTAAATTTGCTATATTTTAATTATTAATAATAAAGATTGAAAAAAAAAACAAAAATGAATAAGAAGTGCCTATACAACATAATAAGTGAAAAGACAAAATACATCTTGACATTTA